ATCTTTTTTCGGCGTATAGGTAATACCTCAAGGGTGGTCCCATTTAAATTTAATAATAAAAAAAACAACCCCCAAGGGTGGAAAATTGGGGATGAACTTTTTTATACGCAATATCTCCGCCGATTATGAACCAATTTGAATGATTATTTTTTTGTTGAAAAGGTATTATCAAAAGGGTGGTTTCATGCGAATTTGAAGAAAATATTTCACCCCCAAGGGTGGAAAATTGGGGATGAACTTTTTTATACGCAATATCTCCGCCGATTATGAACCAATTTGAACGATTATTTTTTTGTTGAATAGGTATTATTTGTGTTCACGCATTTGAAGTCGGTTTTTTTTTTAAAGTTATTGAGACGACAAACGTCAGCGAGACTTCAGATTTCTTTCAGATTTGTATGCTTATTCCCGTCATAATATTATGTCAATATCACCCCTCCCGTGATGCAGTACACAGTACAGTTGATAGAAAACAAGGTTAACCAACAAAGTCAAGAAATTTCTACGTTATAAGGACTTGACTTAAGGTCCTATGTCTCCTAGATGGGGCAGAGGGCGTCCACAACAGTCCTCCATCGCGTTCGGTCTTGAGCTTCGCGTTTGATCTCGCTCCAAGTCTTGCCGATCTTCTTCGCCTCGTCTGCTACAGTGCGCCGCCAAGTTTGCTTGGGGCAACCACGTTTGCGTTTTCCTACGTTATAAGGGGTTCGTCGTTAAATCGCGTGACGTTATAAAGAGTTACTGTTAATCCAAATTGAGAGCCGACTTCTTTTTTTAAGTCATAAAAACAACCGAATTGAAGACCTTTCTTACCCGACTGCACTGAAGGAGGGTTATGTTTAACTAAAAATACTAGCAGATTTTTCACCCACATCCGTGTGCGGGTAAATAAATTACAATTACCCTCTTTACACGGGGCGAAGGTCGGCCATTGGTGAAGCCATACGAACGTCGCAAGCCACGCAACGACACTGCTTCATACCACACACTTCCGACGACCTGTGACCTGTTTTAACCACTCGTAGAGTCGGGCTTATTCCCAAAGGTCCAATATCTCTATTGTATCCAAAAAAATTAAGTTCATACCAGGGATGTTATGGATACCCGTAATGGTATGGATATCCGTAACCGTAACCGAAACTTTCGGATACCCGAAATAAAAAAAATATCCGAAACCGTAACCGATTCAAAAGTTTCGGATAATTTCGGATGTAGGCAGTTTAAATTGTTTTTTGTATAGCATTTAGGTATAATGTAAAGGCATAACAGCCTGATTTTATTTTTTTATTACTTTTTATTCGATGTAAAGTGTGCGGCCATGAATGACCCGTGCAAATTTCATTCTAAAGTACAGATATCCGTAACCGTAACCGAAACCGGTATAATATTATTCCTATATCCGTAACCGTATCCATAACAAAAACTACATATCCGTAGCATAACATCCCTAGTTCATAATTTGATTCCCAACAGTTCCACGACATTAAAAATATGGGACAGCAAGGTTCTGGAGTGGAGGCGGCGTACCGGAAAGCGCAGCGTAGGACGTCCACCCGCAAAGTGGACTAACAACCTCATATTGCATTGTTGTGTTCCGGCAGTTAGAGGTAAGATAGCCAGTTCCTCCGTGGTTGAGGATTCCGGGTGAAGCTCGCTTCCACCTTTGGCCTGATCGTCACTTACCATCAGGTGAGATACAGGCCAAGAGCTTCCTCGTTGTGGATAAAAAAAATAGGTAGCGGGAAGGCGCTGGATGCAGGCCGCCACCAACCGGCCATTGTGGAAATCAATAGGAGAGGCCTATGTTCAGCAGTGGACGTCCTATGGCTGAAATGATGATGATGATCACCCATTGATATAATCGGTTATCAGGAGCGTAACTCATGGACTCGAGGCCGCGATGAAAAACCAGTATAATTATTGTTAAACACCTATAATTAATTAATGTACATATTTGTCGCTAATTGGCACCGAATATCGTCGTGAATGTTAATGCAACGTTTAATTTAAAATATTTGTTTATTAAATTAAATAGCAGTTAAAATGGCAGTTATCCTCAATGAATGACTGGTAAATTAATAATTAATAAACCAGTGATTTTACATTTAATTTTGAGTGACAGTGTGGTAGATAACGCCAGTGGTTTTGCCCGTGTTTTGAGCTATTTATATAAATACTTATATTTAAATGTTGTGTGTGTGTGATGTGTATTACAGTTAAAATTATTTAGTGAGAGTGCAAAGGTTTTGGATCAATAAATAAGCCAAAATCAATTTTAAGTGAATTATTTACTTCAAAAAAGTCTAGAGACTAACCACTCAGCTATAGAGATACTAGCCTGCCGCCCGCGACTTCGTACGCGTAGACCCCGTTTTACCCCCTTAGGGGTGGAGTTTCGTAAAATCCGTTCTTAGCGGATGTCTACACCCTATAAGGAACCTACCTGCCAATTTTCAAGTTGGTAGGTGTAATAGTTTCTGAGATTTCATGATTATTCAGTGAGTGGTATTTTTGGAGGAGTACCATAGTGCTTGGTAACGCCTTCCAAGCGAAAGGTCGCAGGTTCGAGTACCTTTAGAAGCAATCGAGTTTATTTGAGAATTTGTGTGTAAGTAAAGGCCAAAGTGAAACCGACAGGTCGTAGGTTCGAGTGCCTCTAGAAGCAATCTAGTTTATTTGAAAATTCGTGTAAAAGGAAAAAAAGTAAAGGTTATTAGTGAAATTATGGTGCACCAGTATACACTGGACGTCGTGTCGTGGATGCCATACTTGGTTTACCTGGCTATGTACTATGTAGTAAGTTTCCAAGTTAATTTATATCATAATACTAGCTTTTGCCCGCGGCTTCGCCTGCGTGGAATTTTGTCTTGTCACAGAAAAATTTTATCGCACGCGTACCTGTTTCAAAAACCGGGATAAAAACTATCCTATGTCCTTTCCCGGAACTCAAACTATCTCTATGCTAAATTTCATCAAAATCGGTTCAGTGGTTTAGGCGTGAAAGCAAGACAGACAGAGTTACTTTCGCATTTATAATATTAGTATTGAGTATAGATATCACTACAGTATTACGTGACTTCTTTACTTCCACAACACAAATACCGCTAGCATATTTTACTCTGTTTCCAAAGAAACTAAGATTGTTGTAACCTATCCCAATCCGTCCTTCAACTGTAAATGTTTTTTATATTTTTTATAAAAGATTATTAGCAATTTGTATTGCAAAATTACTAATAGTCCCGTTAGCCCCTCGTGTTAAGCTTAATAAGCTTGTGTTACGAGTGGGCTCACTACGATAGTCGAGCGGCGGTGGGATTCGAACCCGCGTTCCTCGGATCTCGAGTCGGCCAGTCCGACCACTTCACCGTTAGGCTATCGTGGCTATGAATTTCAATCTGTTTTCGATTAAATATCCATAATTTTAGATGCTTTTACACGTTCACATTGTTTAAACATTTCACACAACACTTTCTGTTTCACTGTATGTTGCATGCCAATTGTCGTTGGTTAGATGTGTGAAACGAACATTCATTGTTTATCACTACTTTGTACCACATTTACCGCAATAAAGAAATTCTATTCTATTCTATTCTATTCTAAATAGTCGCATAAACAATATGAAAATGTAAAAACATCGAAAACCGTGGATATTTTGACCAAAAACATATTGAAATTTGACAGCTGACGGACGGATTTGGATTGGTTTTGATTACAGCAACCCAGTTTAAAACATTCTTCGTTATTTTGAAGTAATTTGTCGGGCTCGCTTACGCCATTATAATACCATCTACATATCTATAACGGTAAAAAACCAAAGATTATATCTTCCAAACTCGTGTACCTGCTTATTATCTGGCTGAGATTGGAATAACAATAAGCTAACAATACTCGTAACTCTTATTTTTTATGTCGAATTCGCACGTTAAAAATGCGGTGGCTACAAAACTAACCACTCAGCAAGCTCACAAAATTTAGAATAAACTTGGTTAAAATAAAACGCTCTTTTACAGGATGATTTACAAATCTTATATCAATGTTATAACATTGTATTAATTAATTATTTGTCTAGCGGCCGCCCGCGACTTCGTACGCGTGGACCTCTTTTTACCCCCGTATGGTATCATGTTGATAGATGGCGTTTCACGGCTTCCCCCGCATGAATATTTACGAACGTCAAAAACAGCTGTAGTTTGTCCAGCGCTGTAGATTTTAACCAATGACGATAGATGGCGCTTTTTAGACACGTCTTATTTATTTATTGAAATTTATTTGTCACATATCGTCATAAATTATAGCCTAAGATATGTTAATCTGGGTTATAAACAATAATACTGTAAATTTTCATCAAAATCCGTTCAGCAGTTTTTGCGTGAAAGAGTAATCATCAACATCCAGACATCCTGACATCCAGACATGCAAACTTTGGCATTTATAATATTAGTAGGATTCTACTCGGCTGGAATCAAAAAATTGAATAGAATATTATTTTTTGCTATTTCTGTGAAAATGTTTGCAGGTGATAGTCATAAAATTGTTTACAACTTACAAACACTCATAAAATTGAGCATGCAATACTTATTTGTTTGGACGACGGCACATTAAGACACAGTGACACCTTCGGCTTCGTTCGTTCGTTGGTTTCAGCCGAAAGACGTCCACTGCTGGAAAAAAGGCCTCCCCCAAGGATATCCACAAAGACCGGTCCTACGCCGCTCGCATCCAGTGACACCTTATTTCGGCGTAATTAATAATGCGACGGGCGCCCGCATTGAGTGCGAGCGCGACAACAACATAATTACGCGCGAGCGATAAGGATGGGTAGCTTGGGGTCATTGGACAAAATTCTACGTGCTCGCAGACCAGACTATAGTTGTCCTGTCAAGTTGTCTCGGGGTCGAGTTGTCGTATTTCCACGGGAATAGTAGGGGTGTGGTCCAATAATATTCTGCTTTAAACAAACTCAAAATGGTTTATTAACGCAATATTCCCAATTGTTGCAGATCCAAACGGCAGCGATGGCGGACACGGACACAGAGACGGTGCCGAACGGGAACGCGGCGCTCTCAGCTGAGGAGGAGGACGAGAGGATGAAGCAACGGCCTGCGGATATTGATGCTGTGAGTGTCCAAGATTCTATGCTCGGAGGGTGCCATCTGATAAGCAATATGACTAAGCGTTTTCACATTTAGGCGAGTTTAGCAGCGCGAAAAACGCGCGACAGACGCGCTGGCGATAATTTCATACTATGTGACAGCGGATGCATGCCTTCACATTATAAAAACGCCGCTGCCGCGCTGCTGTCGCGCTTCTAACGCCCTAATGTGAAAGCGCTCTTAAGCTATGATGTATGATTCGGGATCGTCAGGTGGATGATATGATCAGGTGATAGTCTCCATTGCAAAAGGACTCTTTTTCCCATCTCCACTGCAGGAGACTCTCGAATTTACCAAAAGAAAGCGCAGGATTTGACCTACATTTCCCACGTTTTGAGGAGGTCTGATACTCGCATAGTTTCTTCGAATGTTGCCATCCCTCTCACGCAAAATGAGATGCTGGCAAGAGCGACGGTAACAGATAGATCAAAGACACAGAGACGGTGCCGAACGGGAACGCGGCGCTCTCGGCTGAGGAGGAGGACGAGAGGATGAAGCAGCGACCCGCGGATATTGATGCTGTGAGTGTTCAGGGTTCTGTGCCCGAAGGGTTGAGTTTAAGAGGGTGCCAAGTTGCCAACCAATATGTCTCTAAGCTAATGCTTATAGGTCGTTCATCATCGACATCAGGTCATTTAGTCTCCACTGCAGTAGGTAGCCCTCTAACCCATTTACCAGAGGCTGGCATATACTCCCGGGTATCATATCGGGTCTTTTAGTCTCCATTGCAAAAGGACAACCTCTTTTCCATCTCCACTGCAGGAGTATGACCCTCACGAATTTACCAAAGGAAAGCGCAGGATTTTGCCTACACTTCCCACGCTGGCCACACGCTTTGAAGAGACTGGTGCATTGCTTTCTATAACTGTCCAAACTGAATACAAATTCTAGAATCTTCCACCAACTTAATTTTTCTTCACCATTTCCAGGACGTCCGCGAAATGGAGCGTCGCAAGCGCGTCGAGGCTCTCATGTCTTCGAAGCTGTTCCGTGAGGAGCTGGAGCGAGTGCTGGACCAGCAAGCTCATGAANCCCATGAAGGAAGCGACGCGCCTCTCCTGCAGCGTATAAGAGAGATGGTTGGCGGGCGGCTGCATACCGGCAGCCTCAGGGTAAGTGCAACTGTATACTGTAAGTCCAGGAGTTAGAATGCATATTCCATCTGCCAGATTTTTTCTCTGTGCTGGCTGGGCCATGATCTGGTTTTGGACAAATGACACTGTAATAGAGTGCATATGCCATCAGCTGTATCCTCCAGCAGATTCAGAGCAAGTGGTAGCCAAATGCGACTAGCTCCAGGAGTTAGAGCGTATATTCCATCAGCTAGCTTGGTGCTTCGCGCTCTACACAACACAGCCTCGGACTAATTGATGGCAAAATACGACTATATTGAAAGGTCTTACAGAGTATAGTCCATTGACCAGCTTGGTACTCAGTCATGTAAGATGTGTGTTACAAAGCTGGGGTAATTTCTGAGTACTTAAGTACATAGTCCATACATCAACAGGAGAAACGAACCTTTTTCTGGGTTTTTAATCAATAAAGGGGTGAAGCAACGTTTCTGTAACATTAGTAATGTAACTAAAATAGATAGACACGGGTCTTAACGCGACATTTATGAATGAGTTACATTATGTATTTTATTTATTTATTTTGAACTTAAATGCTCATAAAACATTGTACAGACGACAGCACGTCAACGTAACCACTGTGGGTTCTTGTGCAATTGTAATAGGGGCGAGTTTGCAACAAAAATGGGTAGCCTGCTGTGCTGTCGTGTGTACATATAAGGCGGATTTAATGCCTTTCGGCATTTTCCTCCAGTCAACCTTAGGGCCAAACTGAAAATAAAGTACATATGTACTCACGGCTTGACGTTTCGGCTGCTATGCTGCAGCCGTGGTCACGAGCAGACTGGCGGCTCGCGGCGTCGTCCATTCGGGCGGGCTTGAAATATTATAGTTTTGTACTGATTGTAATTATTATCTAATCTTGAGCACCATCATCCCCAGGGTCCAGCCTGCGTGCTGCCCATCAACGACATCCGAGGCATCGAGGGTGTGGGCTACGAGAAGGGCGAGAAGATCCTCCGCTGCAAGCTGGCTGCGGTCTACCGGCTCGCTGACCTGTTCGGATGGACGCAGAGTAAGTAGACCAGCCCTAGACGAAGTACATGGACCAGGATCCATTACATTCTAGAAATATTCTAGAAGGGCGAGAAGATACTCCGCTGCAACCTGGCTGCGATCTACCGGCTCGCTGACCTGTTCGGATGGACGCAGAGTAAGTAGACCAACCCTAGACGAAGTACATAGACCAGGATCCCTATGCAGAGTTACATTCTAGAAAGATTCTAGAAGGGCGAGAAGATACTCCGCTGCAAGCTGGCTGCGGTATACCGACTCGCTGATCTGTTCGGATCGACTCAGAGTAAGTAGACCAGCCCTAGACGAAGTACATAGACCAGTATCCCTGGACGGAGTTACTAGAGACAGTTTCAAGAAGTGTGAGAAGAGAAGATCCTAGATACTCCGCTGCAAGCTGGCCGCTGTCTACCGGCTCGCTGACCTGTTCGGATGGACGCAGAGTAAGTAGACCATTGCTGATCAACCTCTTTAAACATACCAAATGTGGTCAAATACCTGCCTTGTTATGCATAAAAAAAAATACAAAAAATCTAAAGTATGCCTTCGAAAGTGACAGTTGTCGCGACAAGGCGAAATTGTGTTCGTTCGTTCGTTCGTTTCAGCCGAAAGACGTCCACTGCTGGACAAAGGCCTCCCCCAAGGATTTCCACAAAGACCAGTCCGTAGGAGAACTAGAGTGACTGACATAGCCCGCAGAATCGCTAAAATCAAGTGGCAGTGGGCGGGGCACATAGCTCGAAGAGCTGATGGCCGCTGGGGCAGGAAAGTTCTTGAGTGGCGACCACGAGCCGGAAGACGTAGCGTGGGCAGGCCTCCCACTAGGTGGACCGACGATCTGGTGAAGGTCGCGGGAGGTGCCTGGATGCGAGCGGCGAAGTTGTGTGCATGAACCTAATTTGGGCAGCTCACTTGCGAAACGCTTGTGCCGTATCTTCCCATTCTGTCTTAATTAGAGATGTAAATTGACTGAATCTGACAGATCAAAAACTGTCAAACTCAGTCAATCTCAGAAGTCACGATAGCCGAACGGTGAAGGGGTCGGACTGGCCGACTCGTAATCCGGGGAACGCGGGTTCAGTTCCCGCTGCCGCTCGACTATTGTGGTGAGCTCACTCTTGACAAGCATAATAATATTTAGCTTAGTACGAGGGGCTAACGGGACTATTAGATTTGTGAAATAACAAATTACTTATTAATCTTTTAAAAAAAAATGCTACATAACGTAATTTTTTTTCACTTTCCAGCTGGCCTAGCCGGTCAGATCACCGCGCGTCTGAACACCGCCGTGGAACAAGTCTTGACAACTCCTCGAGGACTCCTGCCTCATGAGGTGACGGCTTCTTCGTTGGTGAAGGTTGATATGCAGGGTGTTGTGCAAGATCAGGGCACCACTAACTTCCCCGTCAATCAAGAGGGTAAGTCTCCGTAACCTCTGAAACTTTGATTCTCAAGCAAAGTGACAATGGTACACAAACGTCTTTGGAAATGTCGAATTTACGACTTTGACTCAAGATAAGTCTATCCCCGACAACTTGACCTCATGACAACTTTGACAATATTTGACAACTCAACCGCCGGCAACTCGAATCCCGATAACCCGAAACCCGACAACTCGTTTGTGATGTCACGAGATTACTTGACAAATAGCTGTAACTTTGGCTGTATTTCCTATTTTTTTAAATGAAAAGTCCTGGATTATTTTAAAAATATATGCCCTGATGGTCTTATACACCCTTGAAAGCATAGAACCCGTGTAACCCACTTTAATAAACTCAACACTTATACAGGGTGGAAACGTTAAGTGATCTCGAAAAATTGATTACTGATTCTGAAAGTACTTCACAAGCTCTTTCAAACGGTACCAATAATAGGTTACAGAATAAACTGAATCTATCCGAAAATTCAATGTTTCCAGCTTGTTTAGTTTCCACCCTGTATTAACGGACTTCAATAAAATGGAGGTTCTCAATTTGGTTGGTATTTTTCTTACAGGANCTCATGAAGGAAGCGACGCGCCGCTCCTGCAACGCATTAGGGAGATGGTTGGCGGGCGGCTGCATACCGGCAGCCTCAGGGTAAGTGCAACTGTATACTGTAAGTCCAGGAGTTAGAATGTATATTCCATCTGCCAGATCTGTTCTCTGTACTGGCCGGGCCAGGCACTGGGTGGTTTCGACCAAATGAGACTGAAGCTCCAGGAGTTAGAGTGCTTAAGCCATCAGCTGTATACTCCAGCAGATTCAGAGCAATTCGAACTCCTCCTATGTTCTTCTGATTAATTTCGTTGCGGGTCCAATGACAGTTTAACTTTCCCCCGGGACAAACTTGACCTTCATTGGTTGGGTTTTTGTGGCGGTCAAGCTGTAGATCCTGGCTACACAGGAGTTGCAGTGGTGGGAACGAGAGGTGGGAATAGTCCCGTAGATTCAGAGCAAGTGGTAGCCAAATGCGACTTTAGCTCCAGGAGTTAGAGCGTATATTTCATCAGCTAGCTTGGTGCTTCGCGCTCTACACAACACAGCCTCGGACTAATTGATGGCAAAATACGACTATATTGAAAGATCTTAAAGACTATAGTCCAATGACCAGCTTGGTACTCAATCATGTAAGATGTGTGTTACGTAGCTAGGGTAACATCTGAGTACCTAAGTACATAGTCCATCCATCAACACGAGAAACGAACCTTTTTCTGGGTTTTTAATCAATAAAGGGGTGAAGCAACGTTTCTGTAACATTAGTAATGTAACTAAAATAGATAGACACGGGTCTTAGCGCGACATTTATGAATGAGTTACATTATAAATAATAAATAAATCTTTGGACAATTTCACACAGCGCCAGCTAGCCCCAAAGTAAGCAACTCAATGCTTGTGTTTTTATTAAATACATACATATTATACATACATATTTACACCCAGACCCGTCACAGAAATTAAAATTCATAATTTCAATTTCTGCCCGGCCGGGAATTGAACCCGGGACCTATCGGCATAGTAGTCCGTTTTGAACCACTACACCAAACGGCCGACAAGTAATTTTACAAGACAATTATGTATTTTATTTATTTATTTTGAACTTAAATGCACATAAAACATTGTACATAAAAGGTGGATTTAATGCCTTTCGGCATTTTTCTCCAGTCAACCTTAGGGCCAAACTGAAAATAAAGTACATATGTACTCACGGCTTGACGTTTAGGCTGCTATGCTGCAGCCGTGGTCACAAGCAGACTGGCGGCTCGCGGCGTCGTCCGTTCGGGCGGGTTTGTAATATTATAGTTTTCTACTGATTATAATTATTATCTAATCTTGATCATCATCGTCCCCAGGGCCCAGCCTGCGTGCTCCCCATCAACGACATCCGAGGCATCGAGGGTGTGGGCTACGAGAAGGGCGAGAAGATACTCCGCTGCAAGCTGGCTGCCGTCTACCGACTCGCTGACCTCTTCGGCTGGACTCAGAGTAAGTAGACCATTGCTGTCATCAGCCTCTTTAAACATACAAAAAATCTAAAGTATGCCTTCGAAAGTGACAGTTGTCGCGACAAGGCGAAATTGTGTTGTTCGTTCGTTCGTTCGTTTCAGCCGAAAGACGTCCACTGCTGGACAAAGGCCTCCCCCAAGGATTTCCACAAAGACCGGTCCGTAGGAGAACTAGAGTGACTGACATAGCCCGCAGAATCGCTAAAATCAAGTGGCAGTGGGCGGGGCACATAGCTCGGAGAGCTGATGGCCGCTGGGGCAGGAACGTTCTTGAGTGGCGACCACGAGCCGGAAGATGTAGCGTGGGCAGGCCTCCCACTAGGTGGACCGACGATCTGGTGAAGGTCGCGGGAGGTGCCTGGATGCGAGCGGCGAAATTGTGTGCATGGACTTAATTTGGGCGGCTACCTTGCGAAACGCTTGTGCCGTATCTTCCCATTCTGTCTTAATTAGAGATGTAAATTGACTGAATCTGACCGATCACGATGGTCAAAAACCATAAATGACAGTTCAAAAACTGTCAAACTCAGTCATCCTCAGAAGTCACGATAGCCGAAACGGTGAAGGCTTCGGACTGGTCGACTCGTAATCCGGGGAACGCGGGTTCGGTCCCCGCCGCCGCTCGACTATTGTGGTGAGCTCACTCGTGAAACAAGCATATTTAACTTAGTATGAGGGGCTAACGGGACTATTAGATTTGTGAAATAACAAATTACTTATTAATCTTTAAAAAAAATGCTACATAACGTAATTTTTTTAACTTTCCAGCTGGTCTAGCCGGTCAGATCACCGCGCGTCTGAACACCGCTGTGGAACAAGTCTTGACAACTCCTCGAGGCCTCCTTCCTCATGAGGTGACGGCTTCTTCGTTGGTGAAGGTGGACATGCAGGGTGTTGTGCAAGATCAGGGCACCACTAACTTCCCCGTCAATCAAGAGGGTAAGTCTCCATAAAGGTATCACGACAATTCAACTTGATGTACCTAGCTACTATGGAACTATGGAACCTTGACAGACTACGGAACTCTGCGACTGACTACAGACCCCTCTAGACACTATAGGACCCCCTAGTTAGACACTACGATACCCCTAGACACTACGGAACCCCCTAGACAATGAAACTTCTCAGATACTACGGAACCCCCTCAGTATTTACGGAACCCCTAGACACTACGGGACCCCCTAGACACTGAAACTTTTAGATACTACGGAACCCCCTCAGTAATTACGGAACCCCTAGACACTACGGGACCCCTAGACACTACGGACTCCCCTAGACACTACGGGACCCCCTAGAGACTACGGACCCCCTAGACACTACGGGACCTCTAGAGACTACGGAACCCCAGCTCACCGCTCGTGAACGCCGCCGTGGAACAAGTCTTGACAACTCCTCGAGGCCTGCTGCCGCATGAGGTGACAGCTTCTTCGTTGGTGAAGGTTGATATGCAGGGTGTTGTGCAAGATCAGGGCACAACTAACTTCCCCGTCAATCAAGAGGGTAAGTCTCCAGAACCTCTGAAACTTTGATTCTCAAGCAAAGTGACAATGGTACACAAACGTCTTCGGAAATGTCGAATTTACGACTTTGACTCAAGATAAGTCTATCCCCGACAACTTGATCTCATGACAACTCTGACAATATTTGACAACTCAACCCCCGACAACTCGAATCCCGATAACCCGAAACCCGACAACTCGTTTCCTGACAATTCGTCCCCCGAAAACTCGTTTGTGATGTCACGAGATTACAAATAGCTGTAACTTTGGCTGTATTTCCAATTTTTTTTAAAATAAAAGTCCTGGATTATTTTAAAAATATATGCCCTGATGGTCTTAGACACCCTTGAAAGCATAGAACCCGTGTAACCCACTTTAATAAACTCAACACTTATACAGGGTGGAAACGTTAAGTGATCTCGAAAAATTGATTACTGATTCTGAAAGTACTTCACAAGCTCTTTCAAACGTTACCAATAGGTTACAGAATAAACTGAATCTATCCGTAAATTCGATGTTTCCAGCTTGTTTAGTTTCCACCCTGTATTAACGGACTTCAATAAAATGGAGGTTCTCAATTTGATTGGTAATTCTTTTACAGGATTCTCCTTGCACGCGAGCGTTCACGCAGCGCGTCCCGACATCCGCTGCGTGTTACATCTTCGTGCACCATCCGCTCTGGCCGTGTCAGCCACCACGGGCGGTGTGCTGCCGTTGTGCCACGAGGCTGCGCTGTTGGGACCCATCGCCTACCATGATCCGCCTTACGGTAAGTGTGAAGTCAACATCATCAGGGCGCGATACTAAAGTGTGTACACTGCACGTCCCGACATCCGCTGCGTGTTACATCTTCGTGCACCATCCGCTCTGGCCGTATCAGCCACCACGGGCGGTGTGCTGCCGTTGTGCCACGAGGCTGCGCTGTTGGGACCCATCGCCTACCATGATCCGCCTTACGGTAAGTGTGAAGTCCTCAGGTCATTTAGTGTCCACTGCAGGAGCGTGACCCTCAAATTGGCACTTTAGGACCACCCTCAGTCTTCCTGCGATCACTAGGGCGCGACACTAGAGCGTGACACTAGGGCGTGACACTAGTGTGTTACAGTAGGGCGCGACACTAAAGTATGACACTAGGGCGCGATACTAAAGTGTGGCACTAGGGCGCGAAACTAAAGTGTGATAGTAGGGCGCGACACTAGGGCGCGACATTAGAGCGTGACACTAGGGCGCGACACTAGTGTGACAGTAGGGCGCGACACTAAAGTGTGACACTACGAGTGTGACAGTAGAGCCCGACACTAAAGTGTGGCACTAGGGCGCGACACTAGAGCGTGACACTAAAAGTGAGACAGTAGGACGCGACAGTAAAGCGTGATACTAAGGCGTGACACTAGGAAGCGACACTACACTGCACGTCCCGACATCCGCTGCGTGTTACATCTTCGTGCACCATCCGCTCTGGCCGTATCAGCCACCACGGGCGGTGTGCTGCCGTTGTGCCACGAGGCTGCGCTGTTGGGACCCATCGCCTACCATGATCCGCCTTACGGTAAGTCAAATAGAAGGATATAGGATCCAAGAGAATAATAGGACACTAAATTTTGGCACTAGGGCGCGACACTAAAGTGTGGCACAAGAGCGTGACAATTACCTAAAAATTGTATGACAACTACATCGCTATAGAATAGGGTATTTGACACCACCAATCAATTACCATACTTTTTAAAACTGTCAAAACGACACTCTCCCATAGATTTTGTACGGCAATACTAGCATGTGACGTCACAATTTTATCAACTCAATGATAATACTTTTTTCAATTATAATGCAACCAAAAATCGTAATTTACAGGTAATTAAAAATAAATTAAGTTTTCAAGACCAGAAAGAAGTGTCTTTTTAAAAAAGTTGTGCTTTAGAATTATTGAGAAATGGTGTCAAATACCCAATTATCAATTATCAATAGTAGTTTAACGTGGAAGCGCCCTAACCCGTCATTTTGCTATCTTGTTGATATTGAGTTTTCTCATTTATTATTGTTTGAAACAATTCGTCCGAAGCAATTTTCTTGGACAGGTTTTTATTTAGCTCCATTTATCCACAGGCGTCCTCGACAACGAGGAGCGCGACAAGCTGGTCCGCGCTCTCGGGCCGACCTCCACCGTGCTGGTGCTCAGCAGCGCCGGCGCCCTCTGCTGCGGAGCGACCCTCGAGGAGGCCTTCCACCAGGCGCGCCATCTGGCGGCCGCCTGCGACGTCCAGCTGCGGCTGGCAGCCGTGCCTCGCGCCGAGTTGAAGCCGCTACACGCCGCCCAGCAGGCACAGGTGCGACACTAGGGCGGGACACTAGGGCGGGACACTAGGGCGGGACACTAGGGCGCGCCATCTGGCGGCCGCCTGCGACGTCCAGCTGCGCCTCGCCGCCGTGCCNTGTAGGATCCAAGAGCAATAGGACACTAAATTTTGGCACTAGGGCGCGACACTAAAGTGTGGCACTAGGGCGCTACATTAAAGTGTGGCACTAGGGCGCTACAATAAAGTGTGACACTAGGGCGCTACACTAAAGTGTGGCACTAGGGCGCGAAACTATTGTGTGGCACTAGGGCGCGACACTAGAGCGTGGCACTAGGGCGCGACACTAAAGTGTGGCACTAGGGCGCGACACTGAAGCGTGACACTACGAGTGTGACAGTAGAGTGTGACACTAGGGCGCGACACGAAAGTGTGGCACTAGGGCGCTACACTGAAGTGTGACACTAGGGCGCGACACTAAAGTGTGGCACTAGGGCGCGACACTGAAGCGTGACACTACGAGTGTGACAGTAGAGTGTGACACTAGGGCGCGACACGAAAGTGTGGCACTAGGGCGCTACACTGAAGTGTGACACTAGGGCGTGACACTAGAGCGTGACACTAGGGCGCGACACTAGAGCGTGACACTAGGGCGCGACACTAGGGCGTGACACTAAAGTGTGGCTCTAGGGCTCGACACTAGAGCGTGACTCTACGAGTGTGACAGTAAGGCGCGACACTAGAGCGTGACACTAGGGCGCGACACTAGAGCGTGACACTACACTACACGTCCCGACATCCGCTGCGTGTTACATCTTCGTGCACCATCCGCTCTGGCCGTATCAGCCACCACGGGCGGTGTGCTGCCGTTGTGCCACGAGGCTGCGCTGTTGGGACCCATCGCCTACCATGATCCGCCTTACGGTAAGTAACACGTCCCGACATCCGCTGCGTGTTACATCTTCGTGCACCATCCGCTCTGGCCGTATCAGCCACCACGGGCGGTGTGCTGCCGTTGTGCCACGAGGCTGCGCTGTTGGGACCCATCGCCTACCATGATCCGCCTTACGGTAAGTAAGATAGAAGGATGCAGGATCCAAGAGAACAATAGGACACTAAATTTTGGCACTAGGGTGCGACACTGAAGTGTGGCACTAGAGTGTGGCACTACACTAAAGTGTGGCACTAGGGCGCGACACTAGTGTGACAGTAGGGCGCGACACTAGTGCGTGACAGTAGAGCGTGACAGTAGGGCGCGACACTAAAGTGTGACAGTAGGGCACGACACTAAAGTGTGAAACTAGTGTGGCACTAGGGCGCGACACAAGCGTGACACTAGAGTGTGACACTAGATCGTGACACTAGAGTGTGACAGTAGGGCGCGACACTAGAGCGTGAGTGACACTAGTGTGACAGTAGGGAGCGACACTAAAATGTGGCACTAGGGCGCGACACTAGAGCGTGACACTAGTGTGACAGTAGGGCGCGACACTAAAGTGTGACACTAGGGCGCGACACTAGAGCGTGACACTACGAGTGTGACAGTAGGACGCGACACTAGAGCGTGATACTAGAGCGCGACACTAAAGTGTGGCGCTAGGGCGCGACACTAAAGTGTGGCACTAGTGTGACAGTAGGGAGCGACACTAGAGCGTGACAGTAGAGCCCGACACTAGAGCGTGACACTAGAGCGTGACACTAAAGTGTGACAGTAGGGCGCGACACTAAAGTATGACACTAGGGCGCGACACAAGTGTGGCGCTAGGGCGCGACACTTAAGTGTGGCACTAGGGCGCGACACTAGAGCGTGACACTACGAGTGTGACACTAGGGCGCGACACTAAAGTGTGGCACTAGGGCTCGACACTAAAGCGTGGCACTAGGGCGCGACACTAAAGTGTGACACTAGGGCGCGACACTAAAGTGTGGCACTAGGGCGCGACACTAAAGTGTGGCACTAGGGCGCGACACTAAAGTGTGGCACTAGGGCGCGACACTAGAGCGTGACACTAAAGCGTGACACTAGGGCGCGACACTAGAGCGTGACACTAGGGCGCGACACTAAAGTGTGACACTAGGGCGCGACACTAGAGCGTGACACTAGGGCGCGACACTAAAGTGTGACACTAGGGCGCGACACTAGAGCGTGACACTAGGGCGCGACACTAAAGTGTGACACTAGGGCGCGACACTAGAGTGTGGCACTAGGGCGCGACACTAAAATCTGACTCTAGGGCGCTAACCAATGAATGGCACTAGGGCGCGACACTAGAACGTGACACTAAAGTGTGACACTAGAGCGTGACACTAGAGTGTGACACTAGGGCGCGACACTAGAGCGTGACACTACACTACACGTCCCGACATCCGCTGCGTGTTACATCTTCGTGCACCATCCGCTCTGGCCGTATCAGCCACCACGGGCGGTGTGCTGCCGTTGTGCCACGAGGCTGCGCTGTTGGGACCCATCGCCTACCATGATCCGCCTTACGGTAAGTAAGATAGAAGGATGCAGGATCCAAGAGAACAATAGGACACTAAATTTTGGCACTAGGGCGCGACACTGAAGTGTGGCACTAGAGTGTGGCACTACACTAAAGTGTGGTACTAGGGCGCGACACTAGTGTGACAGTAGGGCGCGACACTAGAACGTGACAGTAGGGCGCGACACTAGTGCGCGACAGTAGAGCGTGACACTAGGGCGCGACACTAAAGTGTGACACTAGGGCGCGACACTAAAGTGTGGCACTAGGGCGCGACACTAGAGTGTGGCACTAGGGCGCGACACTAAAATCTGACTCTAGGGCGCTAACCAATGAATGGCACTAGGGCGCGACACTAGAACGTGACACTAAAGTGTGACACTAGAGCGTGACACTAAAGTGTGACACTAGGGCGAGACACTAGAGCGTGACACTACACTACACGTCCCGACATCCGCTGCGTGTTACATCTTCGTGCACCGTCCGCTCTGGCCGTATCAGCCACCACGGGCGGTGTGCTGCCGTTGTGCCACGAGGCTGCGCTGTTGGGACCCATCGCCTACCATGATCCGCCTTACGGTAAGTGTGAAGTCCTCATCAGGTCACTTTTAGACCTAATTGGCACTTTAAGACCACCCTCAGTCTTCCTGCGATCTCCCTTCCCCCCCGATTCTAGTGCGTGGCACTAGGTCGCGACACTTAAGTGCGGTACTAGGGCGCAACACTGAAGTGTGACAGTAGGACGCGACACTAAAGTGTGGCACTAGGGCGCGACACTAAAGTGTGGCGCTAAGGCGCGACACTAAAGTGTGGCACTAGTGTGACAGTAGGGCGCGACAGTAAAGCGTGATACTAAGGCGCGACACTAGAGCGTGACAGTAGAGCGCGACACTAGAGCGTGACACTACACTGCACGTCCCGACATCCGCTGCGTGTTACATCTTCGTGCACCATCCGCTCTGGCCGTGTCAGCCACCACGGGCGGTGTGCTGCCGTTGTGCCACGAGGCTGCGCTGTTGGGACCCATCGCCTACCATGATCCGCCTTACGGTAAGTGTGAAGTCAACATCATCAGGGCGCGATACTAAAGTGTGGCACTAGAGTGAGACACTAGAGCGTGACACTAGAGTGTGGCACTAGGGCGCGACACTAGAGCGTGAACTAAGGCGCGACACGTAAAGTGTGGCACTAGGGCGCAACACTAAAGCGTGACACTACGAGTGTGATAGTAGGGCGCGACACTAGAGCGTGATACTACGAGTGTGACAGTAGGGCGCGACACTAAAGTGTGGCACTAGGGCGCGACATTAAAGCGTGACACTAGGGCGCGACACTAAAGCGTGACACTACGAGTGTGACAGTAGAGCCTGACACTAAAGTGTGGCACTAGGGCGTGACACTAAAGCGTGACATTACGAGTGTGACAGTAGGGCGCGACACTAGAGTGTGGCACTAGGGCGCGACACTAAAATCTGACTCTAGGGCGCTAACCAATGAATGGCACTAGGGCGTGACACTAGTGTGGCACTAGGGCACGACATTAAAGTGTGGCACTAGAGTGTGACACTAGGGCGCGACACTAAAGTGTGACACTAGATTGCGACACTAGTGTGACACTAGAGCGTGACACTAGAGCGTGACACTAGTGTGACAGTAGAGCGCGACACTAAAGTGTGGCACTAGAGTGTGACACTAGATCGTGACACTAGAGTGTGACAGTAGGGCGCGACACTAGAGCGTGACACTACGAGTGTGACAGTAGGGCGCGACACTAAAGTGTGGCACTAGAGTGTGACACTAGGGCGCGACACTAAAGTGTGACACTAGGGCGCGACACTAAAGTATGACACTACCGAGTGTGACAGTAGGGCGCGACACTGAAGTGTGACACTAGGGCGCGACACTTAGTGTGACACTAGGGTGCGACACTAGAGCGTGACACTAGTGTGACAGTAGGGCGCGACACTAGAGTGTGACACTAGTGTGACAGTAGGGCGCGACACTAGTGTGACAGTAGGGCGCGACACTAAAGCGTGACATTACACTACACGTCCCGACATCCGCTGCGTGTTACATCTTCGTGCACCATCCGCTCTGGCCGTATCAGCCACCACGGGCGGTGTGCTGCCGTTGTGCCACGAGGCTGCGCTGTTGGGACCCATCGCCTACCATGATCCGCCTTACGGTAAGCAAGATAGAAGGATGCAGGATCCGAGAACAATAGGACACTAAATTTTGGCACTAGGGTGCTACACAAAAGTGGGATACTAGGGCGAGACACTAGAGCGTGGCACTAGGGCGCAACATTAAAGCGTGACACTAGTGTGACAGTAGGGCGAGACACTAGAGCGTGACACTAGGGCGCGACATTTGAGCGTGACACTAGGGCGCGACATTAGAGTGTGACAGTAGGGCGCGACACTAGTGTGACAGTAGGGCGCGACACTAGAGCGTGACACTAGTGTGACAGTAGGGCGCGACACTAGAGCGTGACACTAGTGTGACAGTAGGGCGCGACACTAGAGCGTGACACTACACTGCACGCCCCGACATCCGCTGCGTGTTACATCTTCGTGCACCATCCGCTCTGGCCGTATCAGC